ACGAACTATAGGGCGCTTTTGCTACGAGGATGACCTGCTCATGCTCTCTGCCGTCTATCCAGAGGTCCAGAGGGATTCACAGACAGGGATGGCCAACCCATACAAAGAGCCTTTCATCAATTCTCTGAAACACAGACTGTTAGTCTATTTGTGGCGAAGGGCAGAGCAAGATGGAAGCGAATGCTGGCTGGGGAATTCTGGGAGTTGAAGTCATCTTCAAGTTGACAAGGTTGAGAAACATTGGCCTAGAAGACCTCCAAGGTCCCTTCCAACTCTCTTGTTATTCCGACTCTATTCTGATTCTGGAGGTGGGATTTTCTAAACTTCATCCAGCTTTGATTGTGACGCTGTGTCTCCACTTTAAGGCGTGAGGACTTCCAACTCCTAGAATTCTGGGAATTGAAGTCCACATGTTCCCAAGAAACATTAGATTATATGGGACTGTAACAGCAGAGAGAAACTCACCACCAGTCAAGGTTGGGCTGTGAATTAAAGTTATTTTTTTAAAAAAAATAACTTCATCCAGCTTTGATTGTGACGCTGTGTCTCCACTTTAAGGCGTGAGGACTTCCAACTCCTAGAATTCTGGGAATTGAAGTCCACATGTTCCCAAGAAACATTAGATTATATGGGACTGTAACAGCAGAGAGAAACTCACCACCAGTCAAGGTTGGGCTGTGAATTAAAGTTATTTTTTTTAAAAAAAAATCCTAGGTGATAAATCTCTACCAGATGACTCCAGAAATGTGGGAAGAAAGGATCACCGCGTGGTATGGGCAACATCGAGGCAGAGCCAGGTGAGTGACTTAAAAGGGACAGGTAAACACAGGTAGCCCTTGGTTTGCCACCATTATTTTAGCAACTGTTTGAAATTAACAGTCACCGAAATAAGTGACCCATGGCCATTTTAAAAAATAATAATTTTATTTATAGTGTCAGGCCTGCAGCCATCTTTTCTTTTGGGTTTTTGGCCTGCCACACTTTCTACTATTCTACTATGCATTTTCTGTTGTGGGAAAATGGGATTGTACGGAGTTAGATGATACGCAGCCATAACAACATTCTTTCCAGAAAGCCAAGGTCATCCTTTGTTCTCTGCACCTCAGCACCTGACCGGAATTGGATGGGTGGAAGCTGCCAGCGTGGCAGTGGGAGATTGGACCATGGGATGGACTTGTGGGTGTGGGTGTGGGGGACAAGATCTTGAACTTTCATCTAGGAGGGGAAAACTGGGAAGCTTTCAGATTCGGGTTTTCCCAGATGTGCCAACATGTCTCTCTTAATCAATTGGAACTTTGAGGAATGCTTTGCCTTGGACTCTGATTTACTTTTGGATGCTCTAAAGATAACCTTCCATGAATTGGGTTTGGAGTGAAGGATGATAGTGAGGGGAAATTATTTGGGGTGGGGATTAGTCATTTTTCAGTTTTAGACGCTGGGCGTAGCATAAACCCGCTGCTTGAACTTTCGCTGCAAAGCTTTGTCACCTTGGCAGGGGAAAAAAATATATCAATCTTCGGAGAGATTATTGGATCTGCTACACCTTGTTTGATTCCTGTTCTTGGGTGCCTGCCAGATGCTTTCTCTAAACCGTCGCCTAAACTTCCTTCCCACACACCCCTCTCCCTTTGCTTTGCAGGGATGAGGCAGAAATGGAGTACTTGAAAATAGCGCAGGATCTAGAGATGTATGGCGTGAATTACTTTGCCATCCGGGTAAGTACATTTAGAAATTCACAGCGGGAATCACCCTGTGGTTCGGGGTGTTTGGGGGGGGGCATGGCAGTGGTAAATGTTTTTTACTACTGGTTCTGTGGACGTGGCTTGGTGGGTATGGCGGGGGAAGGATACTGGAAAATCCCCATTCCCTCTCCACTCCTGGGGGAAGGATACTGGAAAATCCCCATTCCTCTCCACTCAAGGGGAAGAATACTGCGAAATCCCCATTACCTCTCCACTTCTGGGGGAAGGATACTGGAAAATCCCCATTCCTCTCCACTCCAGGAGAAGGATACTGCAAAATCCCCATTCCTCTCCACTCCAGGGGAAGGATACTGCAAAATCCCCATTCCTCTCCACTCCAGGGGAAGGATACTGCGAAATCCCCATTCCTGTCCACTCCAGTGGAAGGATACTGCAAAATCCCCATTCCCTCCCCACTCCAGGGAAAGGATACTGCAAAATCCCCATTTCTCTCCAGGGGAAGGATACTGGAAAATCCCCATTCCTCTCCACTCCAGGGAAAGGATGCTGCAAAATCCCCATTCCCACCCCACTCTGGGGCCAGCCTTAGGTGTTATTTGCTGGTTCTCTGAGCTACTCAAAATTTCCGCTACCGGTTCTCCAGAACCTGCTGGATTTCACCCCTGGGGGGACGGGACAAAGCATGCAGACCGAACCGTGATCCCATTTGTGGAGAAGCATTCTGTGGCTTTTCGAGTAGCATTTCCCTTGTCGCTTCACCTGCGGGCCAGAAGGAGATTTCTGAAGGGGAACAAATGAGTCATTTGGCACTGCGGTCCACACGCCGATTTGGAAAGCTTCTCTATCTCTGTCCTTCCTCCCCCCACCCCCTCCGCTTCTTCTTTTAACCAGGTTATTGCAGCAGAACCTCCGGGCCAAAGTGGGAGAGAGTTCAGGTGCAAATCCGTGGGGCTGATTTGCTGTACGGCTCTGAGTGGAATTAAGTCTCTCCATCCCACTCCCCATTTGTTTCCCCCCAAAGATTTTTTTTATTTATTCTCTTACGTAGCATTTTAAGCATACATTCACATAATTGTTCTTCTTCTTTACATTTATCATTCTTATACATTTATTATTTCATTTAATAAGTTATAATTCACCATCCCTTCCTCCTTTTGTAACACCTCCTTCTTTTCTCCCTCCCTTCTCTACTTTCTTCCTTCCTCCTCTCCTTCCCCTTCCTTCTTCCCTTACCTTTCTTTTGTTCCTGCTCTTCCTCTTCCCCTTCCTACCCTCTCTCCTTCTCTTCCTCTCCCTTCCATCCTCCTCTCCTTTCCCTTTGCTTTTCCCTCCCTTCCTTCCTTCCTCCTCTCCTTCCCCTTCCTTCTTCCCTTGCCTCTCCCCTACTCCTACTCTTCCCCTTCCTACCCTCTCTCCTTTTCTTTCTCTCCCTTCCACCCGCTTCTCCCTTTCCTTTTTCCCTCCCTCCCTTCTCTACTTCCTTCCTTCCCCCACTCCTTCCCCTTCCTTCTTCCCTGACCTTTCTCCTACTCCTGCTCATCCTCTTCCCCTTCCTACCCTCTCTCCTTCTCTTCCTCTCCCTTCCATCCTCCTCTCCTTACCTCTTTCTTCTTTCCCCCGTCTTCCTTTCTTTCTCTCCCCCTCTCTCCCTTTCTTTTTCTATTATTGGTATATATTTCAAAACTCAGTTTATGTTTCCTTGGGATGGTATTTCCGTCAGCCCAAATATAATTTAGTATCATTTCTTATTCCTTTCCCTTCACTAGTTACCCTAGGTATGTCCCCCCCCCCTTATGTCTCATTCTTGAATATATACATATATAATATTTTCTTTTCTGTTTTCCCCTTCTCCCCCTCTCTCTTTCCCATTTAATCTTTATCTTCTCCTTCCTTACTTTCTTTTCTAGTTTGCTTTCTCTAGCCAGTCATAGAACCTTCCCCATGACTTGAAGAACTCCGATTCCTCTTTCTCCTTTATTTTCATTGTCAACCTAACCACTCCTCGTTTTCTTCTTCTTCTTTTAGAACAAGAAGGGGACAGAGCTGCTTCTGGGAGTTGATGCGTTGGGCCTCCACATATACGATCCAGAAAACAGGCTGACCCCCAAAATCTCCTTCCCTTGGAACGAGATCCGCAATGTCTCTTACAGCGATAAGGAGGTAGGCCTGAGCTATGTAAGCACAGAGAAAGCAACAGTAGTTTAGGCCGTTGTTTGAACACCTGCCACCTGGTGGTCTAGAGGTGGGTGCTCTCGCATCACCATCAGGAGGCTGTGAGTTCGATCCTAGCTAGAGGCAGAGATTTCATTCTCTTTGGGCATGGTGAGAATATATCTGCTGAATATAACTCCGTACTGGCAACAGGAAGGGCAGTAAACACTCAGCTCCATTCAGTTGCTCAAGACTCCATCCCGCTATGGAGCCTTTAAAAGATGATGATGTGCTTTGAACATCTGCCTGGTTAAAATTTATCAGAAGCCTCCTCGGGGGTTGGCGCCATCGAGACGAGCAATAATACAGGTAATCCTCAACTTATGACCACAATTGAGCCCAGAAGCTGTGTTGCTAAGTGAGGAATTGGTTAAGTGAGTCTTGCCCCTTTTTTACTTTTTTCTTGCCACGTCTGTTAAGTGAATCACTGCAGTTGTTAAATCAATCACACCGTTGTTAAGTGAACCTGGCTTCCCCGTTACCTTGGCTTGTCGAGGAGGTCGCAAAAAGGGATCACATGATCACCCCCCATGATCAAAAAAGGGATCACATGATCACGGGGATGCTGTGACGGTCGTAAGTGTGAAAAAATGGTCCTAAGTCACTTTTTTCCAGTGCCATTGTCACTTGAAATGGTCACTAACCAGATGTCAACTTGCAAAGCATCCCTGGCCTGCTCTTGAGTTGCCATAGGCAAGGGGGGGGGAAACTGACGGAGTAGCACCAGCCACAAACAGAAACACATTCCACACGTATCTTTCTCAAGGCTGTCTCCCAGGTTTCCTGCAACAGCCAGAGGGGCATGATCTCTACAGCCCGGAGAATTGTGATTTATGACATACCCTGAGGGGAGGGGTGGGAAACAGGGTCATAGTTGGGCCCTAAATTACGTGGGGTCAGAGCTGGCTTCACTTGGGTACTGCCGATACGTTGCTTCTAATAAATAACTGGGCTTCTTTTGAAGCTTGGCTCGAGGCTCATGATTTAATTAGGGCATCCGTCGGAACCCTGACACCTGGCTGTTATAGTCAAGGACTACCTGTGTTTGTGTTAGGTTGAAATCCCACCACGGGGGGGCACTTTGAATGAAAATAGTTTTAATCCAAAACTTAAAAGTGTATAAAGGAAATTCAGAAGCTCTCTCTCTCTCTCTCTGCTGGAGGTATTCTCGATTTTGGGTCACTGTGAATTTTGTTCACTTCCCTCCGTCTGTATTTAAATAAGCCTTGGGCTTCTCGTTTGGAACTGATGAACTGTTTCCTGGCTGTGCTTAAATGAAGTTGACCTCCATTTCCCCAGGTCTCCCCTCGAGTTTCTAATTGCCCTTTCTGCTGTGTTTATGGACAACGGCACCATTGGAATCCTGCCTGTCCGGCAGCCCTTAAGTGAAATTTCTAAGTGCTGCATTTAAAGGCCCTGACTGAGTGTTAGGAATGTGAATAGGAGCCTCCGTGTGCTGGGTTGAGCCTTTTAAGATAGGCAGAATCACTAATTTGCAACACGACTTGTTCCCTTAGCCATAGGAAAAGGATAAAGAGGACTGTGAGAGATAAATGGTATCTAAAAAGGGTTGTTGTAAGTTGCGAAGTTGTGTCCGACCCATCGCGACCCCAAGGACCACGTTCCTCCAGGCCTTCCTGTCCTCCACCATCCTCTGGAGTCCATTGAAGATCACGCCAACTGTGACTCCATCCAACCTCCTCCTTCTCTGCCGCCCCCTTCTTCTTTTTTTGCCCTCCATCGTTCCCAGCATGAGGCTCTTCTCCAGGGAGTCCTTCCTTCTCCTTAGGTGGCCAAAGGATTTGAGTTTCCTCTTCAGGATCTGGCCTTCTAAAAAGTCAGGGTTGATCTCCTCTAGAACTGACTGGTTGGATGGCCTTGCAGTCCATCTTATCTTTTCTTTCTTCCTTCTTTCTTTCTTTCTTTCTTTCTTTCTTTCTTTCTTTCTTTCTTTCTTCCTTCCTTCCTTCCTTCCTTTCTCTTTCTATCTTTCTATCTATCAATCATCTATCCATCCATCCATCCATCCAATCCCATCTCATCTTTTCTATGTTGTTGTTGTTAGTTGCAAAGTTGTGTCCGACCCATCGTGACCCCATGGACAACGTTCCTCTAGGCCTTCCTGTCCTCCACCATCCTCTGGAGTCCATTGAAGCTCACGGCAACTGCTTGGGTGACTCCATCCAGCCACCTCCTTCTCTGCTGTCCCCTTCTTCT